ACTTGGAGATTAAGCAACACACTCCTAAATAACATATAGGTCAAAGAAATTTCACAAGAAATTTTAAAATATTTTGAACTAAATGAAAATAAAAATACAACTAACATCAAAATTTGTAGGATGCAACAAAAGCAGTGCTTAGAGAGAAATTTATAATAATGACTATGTATATTAGAAAAGAAGAAAAATGTAAAACCAATAATCTAAACTTCCACCTTAGGAAATCAGCAAAAAAGAGCAGTTAAATATAAAGCTATCATAAGAAGACAATGATAAATATTAGATAGAACACAAATCAATGAAATTGAGGACAGGAAATCAGAATAGAAAATAAAAGCAAAAGCTGGTTCTTTGAAAAGATCAATGTAATAAATATACTTCTAGACACTAACTAGGGACAAAAAGAGGGAGAACACACATTGACAGCATCAGAAATAAAAGAGGAAACATTACTACCACATAGATATTAAAGGGACAATCAAGGATTATGAACAACTTTATGTCTACAAACTTGATATCTGAGATGTAACAGACCAATTCTTTGAGACACAATCTACACCCTAAATACACCCTAAGAAAAAGACATTCCAAATAGGCCTATATTATAAAATCAATACTATTTGACAATAGAAAGTAATGATACACTGACACATGCTACGACACAGATAAACCTTTAAAACATTGCTAACTGAAAGAAGTCAGTCACTAAAGGTCATTTATATGAAATGTGTACAATAGGCAATAGAACCCAGAGACACAGAAAGTAGGTTAATGGTTGCCTAAGGTGGGAAGTTGGGATGGGAATAAGAAATTGGAGTGATTACCAAAAGGAACAGGGTTTCTTTTGGGGTGATAAAAATGTTCCAAAATTGACTGTGGTGATGTTTGTGCAACTCTGTAAATATGCTAAAAACTGTTTAATTGAATGGGCAAATTTTATGGATTTATGTGAATTATATCTCAATAAAGCTTTTTTTAAAAAATGTGCAAAGTCTTAATGAAAGCCTCAACATGAAAGAGAAAGAACAAAGCAAAGAAAGAAACCAGCAAAACAACAAAAAGGAACCCACAGGACATACAGGCATTTGGGAAGCAGGAAAAAAAAACACAACAACTTGAAATATTAAGAGAAATAATAAATGTAAAAATTGACAACATAAAACAAGAACAAATCGTAATGCACCCCCCCAAAACATTTAATTTAAAATCTGTAAGATACAGTCAATGACATCTTCCAGAAAGTGAAATAAAAAAGACATGGATTTTAGGGTATAAACATAAGAAAATTAGAGGGTCATTTGAGGAGCTCCAACTTATAGGAATTAGAGAACAGAAAGAATAAAGTTCAAGGAAATAGTGCAAGAAAATTTCCCAGAACTGAAGGGCACTAGTGTCTAGGTTGAAGGCTCCTAGAGCATTCAGCCTATGATCAAGGAACACCATCATGAAGTGTACGACACTGGGCATATGAAGATGATCCTAAATACTTCTAGAGAGAGGAAGACAGATCAATCATACAGAACTGAGAATCAGAATGGCAATCACGCCAGAAGCAGGAAAACAAAGGACTCATGTCTTCAAAGTGCTGCATGACTTTTCATGCTAGAATTTTATGCCCACCCATATTTTTCAATTGAGTATAAAAGGGACATTTTCAGACACTTGGCAAAAATGAGATCCCACATAGCAAAGTGACAAAAGGAACTTCCAAGATGACAGCTGGTTGCCAGGCTTGGAGAACAGCTGGTCCAGACTGCAGGAGGAGGTGGACAAAGCATCTGTGCTTGGAAAGTAGTCTGGCATCTGACAGATCCACTGTAGCAGCTGGAGAGGAAGGAAGGAGGGAGGGGAGGGAGGAACCTGCAGTTTCAAAGAAAACAAAGCAAATTAAAAAATTAGGTAATTATTAAGTCCAAGAGGAAAGAATTTTCATACAAGAAACAATCGCAATATACTAAGACTCAAAGACTAACTAGCATAGTATTAATAATCTTTACATTGACAATTGATTTAACTAAAAATCTTGATAGAACTATAATGGGAAACAGATTGAGGAGAGGGATAAGAGAATTATCATAACATGCAGTTGATAAAACAAATTTAAAGTAAATAAGTCAAGAAATATCATTAAAAGCTATTAGTAACATAATAAACATAATATTGTATGTATACCTAAGACATAATATTGTATGTCAACTGTAATTGAAAAAAAAAACAATAAGCCTGTGGTCTTAAAGTTTTTTTGTTGTTGTTAGCAGAATGCTTTTTCCCAAAATTTATGTAGAAAAAAAGCACAGCTAGTCTGACAGAAGCAGAGGGCAGGACTCTCTTGCCCTAGCAGCCCCTGAAACACCTCCTCTTAGAAGTCACTAATTCTGGAGAATTTTAAAACTTACTGGTTCAGACTCTGACTCATATAACTAATGAGTCTGGAAGAAGTTATACAAAGTTAGTGTTACACTCGAGTCTATGCCCAGGACTCTTTCTCTTACATGGTCCTGCTTCGAAAATTTATAAACAAAGGGAGAGCGGTATCAATTAATGCCAATTCATGTTTAGAGATAAGAAAATGTGAATATCCTTGATTACATTGGTGTAGGAATTGGGGAAAATCAAAGGGAATGCAGGAGACTTAAGGCTTTCACAGATTTAGCAAAAGAAATAAACATATAGGTTCAAGAAGCTGAGTTAACTACAAACAGGGTAAATCCAGGGAAATCCAAGCTGAGACATGTCACAACTAACCTAAAAGGTAATCAAAGAAAAAACCTTGAAAGCAGCCAGAGAAAACCAACATCTTTTCTATAGGGAGTAATAATTAGAATGACAACAGATTCTCCTCAGAGATCATCAAGGCTAGAAGGAAGTGTCAACCCAGAATCCTGTACCCTAAACATGATTATACCCCAAATAGATGTGCCTAAAATACCTTTCAGGATAAAGGGAGAAATGAAGACACTTTTCAACAAAGGAAAACTAAGAATCTGTTGCCAGTTGACCTATCCTAAAAGAATGTCTAAAGGAAGTTTTGTAAAAGAGGAAAAGATAGAAGAAGACTTAGTCCACCAGGAAGCAAGAACTCAGTTTGAGACACTATTAGTAAATACAACAGCCTTCTTTCTCCTCTTGAGTTTTCTAAGGTATGTTTGATGGTTGAAACTAACGTATAGTAACACTATCTGATTTGAGTTTCAAAAGAACAATTGTCATCAGGCATTTCTCTCAAGAGGCCACATGTATTTAACCATAGTTTCCAATAACCATAGAATTTTTCTTTCTTTCCACAGTTAAATAATCACATTTTGTCCACTAAATTTAAGCTGTCACTTTGGGAAATGCAAAGTTCCCTTGCTAAAGGAAATGTTTGTTTTTTTTTAACCAATGGAAAAGGATAAAATGCTTGATAAAACGACTTATAAATACACACATAATGGCAACAATCTTCTTGACTATGCTGAATTTTGCCAGCTGAAATAAAATATTAGTTAAGTACTGGGGCTTTAAACTTGGTTTATAAGTCAAATTTGGAAGAAATAAACTGCATTTCAAAAACTTGCAACTAAAAAATGGTTCAGACCACAGGAGGTTCAGAGGAAGTATGCTATGCTGGCTAATGTTTTTCTCTTTGCAATTTGCACTTTGACTTATCAAGGGGACATGTAGCATGCAAGGTGGAGAAGGAAACTTGGAAGGAATGTAATATAATTTGCTCCCTCAACAAACTCCAATCATATCCAACAATGACTACAAACATATGAAGCCAGGCCTGACTGTGCCCTGCAACCCTCTGAATAGAGAATTCATGAATGCTAGAGTATTCACCTCCTATGGAATCTATCAAAACACTGAAGAGACTGTTCTCCATAATCTGTTGTCTGGCCACTAGACCAGTTAAATGACTCATGTTAGCTGGGCAGAAAGAGATAATGATGAATGAGAAGAGAATGGAAATCATTTGGGAGTCTCAACTGAGGAAGGTCTTAGGAACCAGCACCCAATTAATGCATAAAATTAGGATCATCATTTTTAAGAATATTCAAATAGATGTCAAGCATACACAAAAGATGCTCAACTTCTTTCAAAATAAGAGGAATGCCACGTAAAAGTACACTGAGGTTTGGTCTTGTTTTTTAAAATTTAGTTAATAGGCAAAGATAAAAAATGTTAGGATATTAGTACACTGTGTGGCTGGCAAGAGTCTACCTAAACTATCTGCACATTGCTATTGGGAATGTATATTGACCCAACATCTGTTGTCAGGTCTAAGATTGGATTTTATCCTACTTACAAGCTAATAAGTAAGTGAGCCTGTTTATTCTTTCATGGATCCTGGATTAAGACAGGAGACGCCTGGATCAGAGACAAAGGACTTTGCTACTCACAGCACATGAAGCAGTTTGAGCACCAGTGTGTTGGCACAATGAGCTATGAAGCAGTGGAAGGTGCTCATTGCAAACTTGAACCTGAGAAATGGTCCACATAAAGATAGGTCAAGGATGTGCTTTCTCGGCTACCTAGTGGGGTGTGGAGGAGATAACCTAGAGGGGTTCTTCCTCCATTGTGCAGGGCTACTTTGCAATAAAAACCACACATACACTTAACTTTTGACCCAGCAATTCCATCTCTAGGAATCTATTCTACATATTTCCTTGCACAAAATGATGGCTATAAGGAGTTACTTATTCCAACATGGTTCATAATAAAAAAGACCAGAAACAATTGAAATGTCCATTGATATAGGACTGGTCTAATTATAATAGACCCTCACAATAAAATATTACACAGTGATAATAAAGGGTGAAAAATTCATGTGCTGGTACAGATAAAATATGCATAATTCTCCCACTTGTGTAAAAGAGGCAAAAAAGTATACTTTCTTGTGCCAAGTATGCATAAAGTTTCACTTTTCTAAAGATACACAAAAAACTAATTTTAACTCTTATATGACACACTGATAAAAGCAAGAACTTAAAATTCCAATAAAACATGACACCAAGGGGTTTGTATTCAAAATTTTAATAATATTTTGTGCCAATAGAAGCTTTTCAAAGGCAATGATATATCAATAAATAATAGTTAAATTGAGTTCCTGAGAAAGAACCTACCACTTAAAAGTGTGTCAGAGCGCTGTAAATAACAACACAGCATTACTGTAAAGTTGCAGAAATACTGACAGTCATGGTACAAGCACAGCAGATGTTGGGATTTATCATTCATACAAAATGTAAACCAGTACACAAGAATTTTTTTTATAGTTTAGACATGATAAACTTATAAGTGTTACTGCCTAGATATATACTAAATAATGAATACATTATGCTAAAAATGTCAAGGAAAAATATGTGGAATAATATAATGAAAATATAATGCATTGGATTCTTAAAAAGCAAGAGAACTAAACTTTTCACTGAAATATAAATCATTTTAAATAGGACTCATACTAATTTGAAATAAGGAATATTTTATATGTTTATCTATGTAGTTATATATATATCTACACATCTAAGAAAATAGGTATGGCTTCATTTTTATTTGTATTCCAATGTCACTGAATAACCCTTGCTGTTTTACAAAGATGAGGAAAATGTACTTTTAAAAAACCAAGTTAAGGCTGACATTTCAAAGCACACCAAAACAAAGAAAAGTGAAAGAATGCCAAGATCACTAAATTTCAACATGGCGAGACTGCAGCTGTCTCAGCGGCTCGAGGAATGGTGGCAGGCAGACTTCACGGTGGGGTTGTCTGGTGGCAGCTATTGGACCCCACACGTCAGCTATGCCAAGAACAAGAGAGTGGATCGACTGGTGAGACCAAGTTCCATGATTAACTTCAAACTTTTTGGCATAGCTAAATTAATCCCTTTAGAAGCACACGAGTTTAGTATATGACAAATGCTTAATTTTAGCCCCCAAAGAATCCAACCATACCCAAGACACACACAGAAGTCACTTCTCAGTTTCATACTTGCATTTCTTTAACAAAACAGTAAGGGATACAATCACAGTGGTCATCCACCCATGTCATCACACACTGTCTATGTCTCATTTATAGATACTGTATAAAAACATCTTCACAGAACCTGCTGTGAATGGCAAGACACAGTCATTCATAACAGAAAGCCCAGCTCATGCAGCACTCTACACACCAGACATCAGAAGTCACACCATGGAGTCACCTTGCTCACGAACTGCCTATTATACTATAATATGCAAAAAGCAATAAAAAAAGCAGCTTCTAACATATCACAATTTTTAAATGTGGGAAAAAAATATAAAACAAAAACCACTGTGTGAATAAAATGGTATCAGTAACAACAAAACAGTGTTATTTTTATGTTATTGCACAGAGATTTCTTTTCACGTTCTTCAGTTTAATTTTCTTTTCCTAAATGTAAGTGCTGTAATAAAATACAAATGTATGTATAAAATAACAGCAGCACGATTTGTCAGAGTTAATCCCTATAGTTTAGTAATAAAAATGACTATAAACAAAATAAGTGCTCTTTCTAAACTGTACTAAATTTTAAAAAAATTCTTTCAATGCAGTGAAGGTCCTCAAAAGCTGATTCAAAGCCATGTTTACAACCATCCCCCTTATCAACCAGAATCTAGAAGTGAAGATATGCTAGACTGGAGTCCTTTTTTAAAAAGCATTTTTGTTTGTCTTGGGTTTTTTGGTGAAGACTAGAATTTCAAGTGAAGTAATCAATGAACTAACTGAAAATAAAGCTGCCCCGAACTTTCCATCAGGCCTTTTAAGGAACCAGCCACAAGTACCCAGGCCTGAGGAAGCTCGGTGTCAGTGTCAAGTCTGTCTACACGTACACTGGTTGGCAACCTTCAGTCTGATCCACCAGATTGGAATTTTCCAAATCCGAGTTCTCAGCCTGTGACATCTCTGCTCCTGAAGGCTTTGGGCATCTGAAGGGGTAGCCATTGTCATCAAAGAACCTTCGGAAGGTAAATTCATAAAATGCGTGTTCAGGGTGCTTGTTATTTGGGGAGGTGAGTGTGTCCCAGGCCTTGGTGCTGTCTTCACTAGCATCATGCCAAGGGTTTTCTTCATCTACTGGGTCAAAATTTGAGGTGTCCATGGGGTGGCTGATCTTGGGAACGTAGGGGGCCGGCTGCTTCCGAATGTCACTAGAGAAATCAATGGTGATGAAGAATGGGTGGGCCTTCAGGTCGTCAGCCCCGTTCCTCCCCAGCCGGTGGTCAGCAGCACAGCATAGTTTAGTGATGAGGTCCCGGGCCTCAGGGCTCAGCTTGACCTGGGCTGGAATGTGGAGCGTGTTCTCCCAGTTTATCACCTCAAGAGACAATAGAACCAAAGGTTTAGTTTCTCCCAACATCTCAAGGCCTATATGGGCAGTTCTGGGACAATACGTGATGACGTGACTTTTAAATAATTTTAGTCTCCTAACAGGAGAAAAGTCAGGATAGACTCAGAAGACGCAGTTGAGGATCTGAATAGCCATAGCAGGTCACTGTTCTAGTCTGAGGCCAGGATGCTGAAGCCGAATGCAGACCCAGAGAGACCAATTTTCTTCTATCAGAGAGACTGTTCAGCAAAAGAATTTTGTGCTTTTCACAAAAATGAAGAGACTGATCCTCTCTGAGTCATTTCTTTAGCTATGGCAATAGATTTTTGTTGAACCATCATGGTTCTCATTAAATACTTATTGTGGCTGGGAGATGGTCAGCTGGGGTTTTATAATTTAAAAAGGCAACCTCATAGAGAAGAATAAAGCTGACCTACCCTACAGCCTTGGCCTCCAATCCCTGATGCTCAACTGCACATACCAGCCATCTAAATGCATGCATCCATCCAATAAATACATTTGTCATAGAAATGTGTTTACAGTGAGAAGAAAAGCTAAGGGACTTTACTGCTCATACTTTGAATCAGGCCAACACAACTGGCTACTGTAAGGGGAACTGAGCATCAGGTGAAGCATGGAGGAAGGTAGGTGTGTGGATGGGAGGGTTGGTTTGAACCTGAGTAGTTTTAGTAGAGCTAAAGCTTATCGAATCCCTAGCAGAAAATGGGAAAATATTCATGATGTTGGATTTGGCAATGATTTCTTGGATATGATACCAAAAGCACAGACAACAAAAGAAAAACATATAAATTTGACTTAATCAAAATGTAAAACTTCTGTTCATCAAAGGACACTGTAAACAGAATGAAGAGGACTATATTTGTTCACAGAATGGAAGACTATATTTGCAAAACAGGTATCTGATAAGGAGTTAATATGCAAAATATATAAAGACTTCCTATAACTCAACAAAAGCAACCTGATTAAAAAAGGCCTTGAACAGACATTTCTCCAAAGACATACAAATGTCCAGTAAGTACACGAAAAGAGGTTCAACATACTAATCATTAGGGAAATGAAAATCAAAACCACAGTGAGGTATCATCTCACTAGGATGAAATGAAGCCACCATTTGGATGGCTACTATAAAAAAAAGAAAAAGAAGTGTTGGTGAGAATGTGGAGGAAATGGAACCCTCATGCACTGTTGGTAGAAATGTAAAAACAGTGGAGCCAGTGTGGAAAACAGTGTGAATAAGTTCAATAGAACTACCATGTGACTCAGCAATTCCACTTCTGGGTATATAGTCAAAAGAACTGAAAGCAAGACTCACACAAATTCTTGCACATGAATGTTCATATCAGCACTATTCACAATAACCAAATAAGGTAGAACCCAACCAAGTGTTCATTGCCGGATGATGGATAAATAAAATGTGGTCTATACATACAATGAAATATTATTCAGGCTTAAAAAGGAAGGAAATTCTTTCACATGCAACAACATGGATGACCCTTGAAGACATTCTTAGTGAAATAAACCAGTCATAAATGGGCAAGTACTATGTGATTCTACTCATTTAAGGCACCCAGAGCAGTCAAGGAGAAGAGAGGTTACAGAGGATGGGGGAGGGGGAACAAAGAGTTATTGTTAAACAGGTACAGTTCTATTTGGAAAAATAAAAATGTCTGGAAATAGACAGTGGTGGCAGTTGCACAACATTGTGAATGTATTTACTGCCACTAAATTGCACACTTACAAATGGTTAAAATGGTGAATTTTATTTACAATAGAAACTGTGTCATGATCATGCAGGCAAATTAGTGAGTGAGTGGTTTAGCTATTCAGTGAGGCTACAGGTAATACCAACTTCCAATTTTATTGTTACTGGTATGAAACTAAGCCTTAATTTAGGCTTCTTCTAATTAAGGGACTATTAATTTAGGGTCTACCATAAACTCCAGGGCATATGAAATCATCCTAGAATTGTTAGTAAACATGTGTCAGTGGGTAAGTGCACTGTTCTGAGAAGTGGCAAAGATTTCATCAGATTCTTAATTCAATTCTTCTTAAGTAATCAAACCATTTATGTCAGAGAGTAAATGGCCATCATTCTAAAACTATTTAATTACATCAAATGAATGTTAGAAATATGCACACTACCATAACCTCATACTGATAATTTGAAAACAGTAATGATAAAACATCCAAATAAACAAATTTATTTCTTTAGGGATAGTTTATAAACTTTTCTGTTGCTTTTGCACAGTGGCAGTAGAGACTAGATCTGACCGTGCCTTACTGCTTGCTTCTCTTTCTTCTTACCTGGAAATACCGAGATGGCAGGTGACCAATGGTTTAAGTAAAATTTCACACACATAATATTTTGCATTTTAAAACTCAGGTCTAACTCTAGGGCTTTACTTATTAAAACAAAAATGTTCACCCTGGCTGGTGTGGCTCAGTGGACTAAGGAATGGCCTGTGAATCTAAGGGTCACTGGTGTTCAATTCCCAATCAGGGCACATGCCTGGGTTGCAGGCCAGGTCCCCAGTAGGGGGCGCATAAGAGGCAACCACACATTGATGTTTCTCTCCCTCTTTCCCCCTCCCTTCCCTCTCTAAAAATAAATAAATAAAAATCTTTAAAAATAAAATAAAAAATTTTAAATCCCATTTTATACAGAGATTCCTACATCACTCAGAATAAAAGGTCAGAAAACCATGCGTTTGCAGCAAACTTATGCATTTCCCCCTTCATTACCTTCAGCTGGGTCTCTGTGGGAGTGGGGGCCAGAAAGGGTGGCTGCCCGACCAGCATCTCAAAGAGAATCACTCCAACACTCCACCAGTCACAGAGCTGAGTGTACCCTGAAAGACAAGGCTACATTCAAGTCCGGCATGGGCACGTACTCTACAGAGAAGAAGTGTATGAAAATATCAAGTATTACTTTGCTACATGGGGAAACATGGTGGAGCAATACACATTTTTTATATAAAAGAAAAACCTACACAAAACACATCTCCTGCATGTGTGGCTCAGAATAAAGGCTGGAAAGGGCATGTGCTAAGGTGGTAACAGTGTTTCTATGGGGAGGAGGTGTTACTTGTCTTTTTTCTTATTTTTAGTCACTGGTCTGTGATAAACACAGGATGCTTTTGTAATAAGAAAAAACATTAATATTAAAATATTACTGTTGTTACTAACAATACTAACCAGAATTTTAAATTCTTAAAGACCATACAGACACAAATTACAATAGTAATAACCACAAACAGAAAGTGTTAAGAGCTGTTAACAGGTGTGTCCAGTCACAAGGGCTTCCTAGCCAGGCTTTCCTGGGAGGGGCAGAGGTAGGTGAAGAACATGAAGGGAGGAGGAAAGGGAGCACTTTGGCAAAGGGAACAACTGTCACTGAAGACACAATCCCTGTGTGAGGTACTAACTAGCCAGATTCTTCTTCACAGTGCTCCTAAGACAGAGCTAAGGCAGGATGTCCTGCAGTTCAGTCAGAGTCAGCCCAAAGGAGGCTGCAGAGCAGGTGCATTTTTTTCTCTGATTCTCTCCCACTTTTCTTCCCCCAGAGCCTCATGTCCCATTCCAAACCATGTTCCTGTCTTGATGTCACCCAATCTGTGCTAAGTATGAACTGGTACCTTAGGTCCCAGCTGGCAGTATTCCCAGGCGAGTTTCTCCAGACTCTTTGGTCCCCTCCATCCCAGTCCTTCCTGCCCATCTAGCACTAAGGGCTGCAGAGTAACACCACCTCTGATTCCTGGACTGTATGCATGGTGGATGCTGAAGAAGGGTAGGATGGGAAGAGGAATGTTTTGTCCCACAGCCCAGCACCACTTCCTCCTACTTTGAGACTGCAACTGGGCAGCAAGGTTATTGTTATAGCGGTGGCTCTGAGTGGTTAATTAATTTACTTTGGATTACCACAGCTAACAAAGAAAACACAGACTCGAATCAAGTGTGGCTGGCTGCAAAGATTTGAAACAACACATGTGAAAAGACAGGCCACCAATCCTGGATTTATTACACACACTCAGGTCAACAAACCAGTGTCGCCATGGGCCATGCGACTTATTACTGGAAGATTCCATTGGTGTTCAGTCAGATATCATTCTTTTTTGTGTGTGTGTTTACTTTTTTTTAAATTTTATTTTAATCATTGTTCATATACAGTTTTCTCCTTTTTACTCCCAGTCCAGCCCTCCCTCCCAGATGTCATTCTGATGGAACAGAACATCTATCCAGGACCAATTTTACTGAGCACTTGTAGTTTTATGCACATTATTGTCCCCAAATCTGACCTTTAAGGTGCTACTAGAGTACAAGGGAGAACTGGAGGAAAAGAGTGTTTGCATTCTGTCATACTCAATAACCAGCTAGAGATGGTACAGCTCAACTCAGAATGTAAGCAAGAAGCTGTGGTGCATATATACAATGGACTATTACTTGGCCATAAAAAGAATGAAATCTTACCATTTGCAACAGCATGGATGGGCCTGGAAGGTACTATACTAAGTAAAACAAGTTAGTCAGAGAAAGACAAGTAACTTAGGATTTGACTTATAATGTGGAGTCTAAAGAACAATATAAACAAGGTAAAACAGAAACAGATACAGAAAACAGATTGATGGTTGCCAAAGTAGAGGGGAGGTTAGAAGACTAGGTGAAAAAATTGAAAGGATTAAGAAGTGCAAATTGGTAGTTACAAAACAGTCACGGGGTGTAAAGTACAGCATAAGAAACATAGTCAATAATATTGTAATAATTATGTATGGTGCCAGGTGGATATTGGAACTATTGGGGGTGGAGGGGTGGGGGGGGTGGATCACTATGTAAATTATGACTAACCACTCTGCTGTACACCTGAAACTAATACAAACTAATATTGAACTTAAAATGTAATTGAAAAGATAAAATAAAGTAAGTTTTTAAAAAGAGAGCTAGAGCCAGGAAATGTCTTAGGCAGACTGAATAGTGTCTCTGTGCCCCTCAGAGTTGTTTCTACCACATGACTGTCAAACCAGTTCTGGAGTGGTTCTCTTGGGTGCTAGATAGAAAGTCCACACCTCTAGCCCATCTCTCACTTCCCAGTCAAAAAAGGAGTGAGCAAAGACTGACTTAAAGGTATGTGTCTTCTGTCATCCTGGGAGCAAGGGTGATTCCAAAATGGAAGTGACACGTGCTTCCATGGGTACACAGTTACAGGGGAATATTTAGGGTCTTAGAAACCTGGGGCTGGAGAGATTCTCAGAGGTCCTCTGGCTCTACAGGTCAGGAGCCAGGATGGCCTATAGCTGGGCAGGAAAGTGGAATGGCCTAGGTGAGCACCAGAGACACCCACCTTTTCGGAGGAGCACTTCCGGCGCAATGTAATTTGGGGTCCCAACCAGGGAGTGTGCCAGACACCTCTGATGCTGCTTCTTGGCTCTCTGCTCCAGGGTCTTCAGCCTGTCTCCACAATGACAATTAGACACATCATCCCAGAGGTCGCCAGGCTCCATGCTGTCCTGTCTGATGTGGCTCCCTTTTTCACCCAGGAATAAGAGAATACAAAACAAATTAAGTTTTCACTTTTTGACAAACCTATAGCTTCAAACTGAAGAGTAATTCAATTCAGCTCTTTATGCACTAAGAGAAAGAACTCTACCCAGCTGCTCAGCAGGGCAGCCTGAGGTCCTGGGTGTGAGACTCCATTGAAGTAAACATTGCACCATGACAGAAACAACTGCGGTGCGGTGACAGCAGCTGTAGGTTGCACTGAGGCTTAGGTGACTGAGGGAATGTCACTTTGAGCCCTTCTCAGCCCAATCTCAACAAGGCGTGCTTTAAGATGAGCATGTAAAAGCATAAGAGGATTTTCAAAATGTGAATTTGAAAAATGACTTAAATGCCAGAAAATAGAACTAAATTAAATGACTTAGGATTAGTTTTAAGTTAAAAGAAAAAGCCTAGAAACCTGAAGTATGGTTTTAAAATAAATACTTCCTGCCCTGGCTGGCGTAGCTCAGTGGATTGAGTGCAGGCTGCGAACCAGGCATTGCAGGTTCGATTCCCAGTCAGGGCACATGCCTAGGTTGCAGGCCATGGCCCCCAGCAACCACACATTGATCTCTCTCTCTCTCTCTCTCTCTCTCTCTCTCTCTCTCTCTCTGTCCCCCCTTCTCTCTCCCTTCCCTCTCTAAAAATAAATACATAAAATTAAAAAAAATTAAAAAATAAAATAAAATAAATACTTCCTGGCTGGGATGCTCAGTTGGTTACAGCATCAACCGAATATGCCAAGGTTGTAGGTTTGATCACCAGTCAGGGCATACACTAGACTCAACCAATGAATGGGTAAACTAGTGGAACAGCAAATCAATCTCTTTTTCTCTCTAAAATCAATAAATTTTTTAAAATTTAAAAAAAGAAAAAAGAATCTAAGCCATAAATAACGGCCAGCTGTTTCTGATTTTTCCAAATAGCAGAACTACAGGAGTTGGAGTTAAACTATAATCATCCCTATACCCATACCTACACTTACAGATACCTAAAGATACTGCAAATAGTGCAGGCAGATCCAGGTCAGCTGTATTAAGACTCCGTAGGAAGTTGTGAGGCTCACTTTTTAAGGCTCATTTTAATAGGGCAGAGTGATGCTTCTTCACAAAGGTGCCATGACACCTATCATCCTAAAAATACCATAGTAAAAAAATCCACTCACACACATCATACTACTTTCTTAGGGAGAAAATGATGTCACTCCAAATTATAAAATAATGGAGTGACAGATAATTTCACAACGATTAGGAGCCACTAGGGTGGGAAACAATGGCATTTAGATCAGCAGTCCCCAGCCTTTTTGGTACCATGGACCAGTTTCATGGCAGAGGGGGAGGTGGAGAGGACAGGAGGCAGAGCTCAGAGCTTTGCTCGCTCCACTGTGGAAATGGGGAGGAGGGGACAGGAGGCAGAGCCCAGGTGAGCTTTGCTCATGGCTCAGTTCCTAACAGGCCATGGGGTTGGGCCCAGGGGTTGGGGACCCCCTGGTTTAGATGGCTAAGTTGTGTCCAGATGTGTAAAGCAGGTGTGGTGTACCTAAGACAGTACCTTTCTGGTAATACTTAGAGTTGTGAGTCCACCTGAATCCAGTGCAGAGGCCAAAATCTGTCAGTTTGATGTGACCATCAAGATCTATCAAAATGTTGTCTGGCTTGATGTCTCGGTGGATAAAGCCCATCTTGTGGACACTCTCGATGGCCAGAGTCAACTCTGCAATATAGAAGCGTGCCAGGTGCTCGGGGAAGACCTCCATCCGGATGAGCAGGCTCATCATGTCACCCCCAGGGATGTAGTCCATCACAAAGTACAAGCTGTCCTTGTCTTGGAATGAATAGTAGAGTTTGACCACCCACTCATTGTCTGCCTCAGCCAGGATGTCCCTCTCAGCCTTGACATGGGCCACCTGATTCCGGTTTAGGACGTCCTTCTTCCTTAGGGTCTTCATGGCGTACAGAGCATGAGTGTCGACCTTACACGCCAGGCATACTTCCCCAAAGGCACCTATCCCCAGGGTTTTGATTTTCACAAACATGGACTTGTCCATCTTGGCCCTCTTCAGCCTGTTGTAATTAGACTCCTTCTGATAGAGGATCTTCCTCATCTGCTCCTGCTCAGCCTCACAGAGTCCGGCCTGCACAGAAGAAAAATAAGAGTTACATCGGGGGAACCCCAAGAAGAAATGGCTGGTGGGAAATGCCCTAGAACTGAGAGGAGCCTGACTTGATCTACAGGAATGAGAAGATAGGAGAATGGGTCCAATACACTCCAAACAAACAAACAAAAAAATCGGTTTTATTCTTTATATCCATATATGACACAAATCCAGAATCCAAAGGGAAGACAAAATAGTCCTCTCTCTGAGTAACTTTAGGCTCTTAAAAACAAAAGGAAACATCTATTAACAAAAATCTGTGGAAAGGGGACCACAAAATTCCTGAAACTCTAAGAGCAATCTAATATTTTAATAGCTCAGGGGAAAATGAGAAAACAGAAAAGTCAATGAAAATGAGAGAGCAGAAAGTAAGAACACAAATTTTATTTTTAGAATTTGAAATTATTGGTTTGTGTGATTTAAATTTACTATAATTTAATTTAAATTTATTAATTACCTTCTCTAGCAGCTTCTTATCAAGTAAGTTTCCTTTAAAGCATTACTTTAATGAAGGAATAAATTATTAACAAAAGGATAAATGAATCTCATAATTTCAATTCACAAAACCTCAAACTTTGTTTCTACTTTTCCCAACGTGTTTTATTAGTGAAATTTAATGAATTTTGCCAATGAACAAAAACACATAAAAATCCATTTGCTAATTTTCTTGTTGGCACATGGCGTACAGCCATAGCTGATCCCTGCAGTCTGCAAAAGGAAGAAGGGAGGGCTGACACACCTGTGATTTCTCCAGGTCCTCTCTCCATAACCAGACCAGTGCTGGGGAGATGACTAGTTGGTACCAAAAGTGCATAAAACAGAGAGAAAAGGGATCCTACTGCTATTCCTATTAATGGCTTAGGAAGAGTGAAAGAAGAGATTACTCTGGCCATCTCCTGCTCCAGCTGCAGCCTGCGGTTGACCTTCTGCTGGTAGGTCTTGATGACATTTTCTACGTGCTGCTCCATGAAGAACTTGAACGCATAGGGCGAGTAGCTCTTGATTCGAGACTCTCTTTTTTCCTCGTCGCGGCTATGTTTGCGAACTGGGACAGGAGATGTCTGGATCAGTTTCTTATCCTTCCCAGCTCGATCTACCTTGGTGCCTTTGTGGCCCCTGTCAGGGGGCTCAGAGGGGTTTCCCCGCAGCCTCTGCTCCAGCCCTGCACACAGGCAGTCCACATCCACATCCACCTGCTCAGCTACACCCCGCAGCAGCAGGTGCTTGGGGTAAGGCGGGGGTGGGCACCTCACATCCACATCCCGTGGATAGGGGCTGGCACCCACCAAGGGTAGGGGGTGCTCATCAGTAGTGTCAGGTCCATCGGGTGCTGGGGTGGTTGCAGGCACCCAGGCCGGGTGGGAGGGCCCCACAGCTGTCTGTGGCTCAGGCCGGAGCACGCGCACACTCTTCACTGGGTGCAAGATGTGAGCTGCTGTCACTGCCGTGATGGTGTTGGGGGAAGCCATGGCCATGGGCTGCTGGTGGCTGTTGAAGGAGCTGCTTCTGTTGGGGACAGTGCCTTCGGGCCGGAATGCCACCTGCTTCTGCAGAGAGTTGCGCCGGGCCAGGGTGGGCACCGGCCACGGTTGGACAGGGGCACTGCCAGCTTCAAACAGGTCCACATTGAGGCTATTCCTGGAGGGGGCCAGGAGGCTCTGTGGGGGTACCATCGTGTGCACCTGGGGGGCCTGTTTGTGGTGTGGGTGCAGCACATATAAACCTGCTGTGGCCCCCACCGCTTGGAAGGTGTGGCCAGCCCCTGGCTGCCCAGCTGGGCCCTTGGCAGCCAGACTGGCATACCCCACAGCATCTGGTGGCACCTTGTTCTGGAAGGATGGGCTGCGCTGGACACTGTAGCTCAGGGGCTCCCCGGGCACCGGCAGGTGTGGCCTGTAGTGTGGGCCCTGCAGGGGGAGGCCTTGACCTCCAGGCCCAGCCACGGGGAAGTTTATCCCAGCAGCCTCCATACTTGCAGAGTAGCCCTTGGGCTGGTGCTGGGAGCCACCAGGTGCGCTGTGGGGATTGGTGCCAGCAAAGAGATAGTCCATGTACTGCCGGGGCACCTCCTCCAGCGCACCACTGCCCTCATAGGCCCCACTCATTGGATGATAGGGAGGAAAAGGATCTTCTGCTTCTTCAAAGCTTGGCCTTTGTGGCACTGAGGTGGGTGCCAAGCCCTTTCCTGCACAGGAAAGAAAGAACCAAAGTGGCATTAGAGGGGTCTGTCCAGAAGGTTCTGGCACTTTCAGGCTCTTCCAGAACTGAAGGTCCCTGGGCAAGGCTGAACTCTGTTGGGGCTCATCTGGGCTGCCTCTGAGTCAAAAGTTCTCCCCTTCCACAGAGAGCCGTCACGGGAGCCCCTGGCAAAGCCAGGACCCTCTACAGCCACCACATCAGGCAGGAGTCACACCCAAACATGGCTGTTTCCTGCACCACTGAACAAAAACCAAAGGATAATGTAGAAGAGAATCACACAGAACATCGCCCTGTGGTCCCCTGAAAGCTGTGCTCTGAGACAGGACCAAAATGGCTAAGCACCGTGACATGGATGGCCAACCAGCACTGTGTAATGAAACTCCTTCTGTCAAGAAAAAAACATGAGTTTGTGTCCTCTTAACGGCAGAGATTCATCTTTCAAAGCCTGTACAGTTCTCACTCAGCAATGAAGTTGGTTTATCTCAGGCCTTCCACAAAATAGGGGAAACTGTTTTGATAAGTATCATGAGTCCCTACCACACTTGGGGGAACTCAGGCCCCAGAAAACTTCGCATCTGTTCCATCCCAGAAGAGGACTCTCCACAGAGAGCCAGAGAAGCCGAGCACTTGCTCCTGGATCTAGGCCTCCCCAGTACCATCACCCTGAGCCACTGGGCAGCGGCTCTCAAGTGTGAGAAATGGTGTTTTAGAATCAATGAAATAAGCCTCCCTTTTGAAAGATACCTCCACAGGCCTAACAGAAAGTAAAAAGAACATTTTTATTCCCACTCTGCCTAATTTTAATATCCAGTGAATTTTGCAATCTTTCACAAGTTGCTCCCACCATAGGAAGTACCACAGGTTATTTCAGATGGGGGGTACCCAGGTAGGTTGCATGATCTACCACTGCTGCATTCCCTCCAGGGCCTGAATTTCAGAGCAGGGCAGGCTTGGCTCACCCATTACAGGCATGTAACAATGTGCCCAGAGGCAATTTGCTGACCACGGCCACAATGGATCTTACTTTATGTTTTTAAATCACAAACCATCTTTACTAGCAAGCTGCAGGCCTCAGCTCACCTGGGGAGGTTTGCTTGATGACACGCACAATCTGCTCCTTCCTCGGGTCCAGGTAGCTCATCTTGCTGATATAGTCCAGGGCAGCTTCAATGCTCCTGCTGCCTGTCTGCTTCAGTGCCCGGCCTGCCATCTCCTGCAGGAAGCACATGCGTCATCTTCAAGCCACCAGGGACTTCCATTCCTGCCCTGCTCCTGACTGTTGGTGACACTTGCCTCCCTGTGATGTTGGAGGTGCTGCAGATGAGTCTCAGAATGGGCACAGTTGGTTAGATGTCCTCAGGTGCCTGATGATAACAGTCTAACTTGTACTAAACCACAGAAGACTACTTAGCATGCATCAAGGACATACAGGAATTTTGATGGTGGACCTGAAAGAATCTTAAAATTGTTTCTCCTTAGAAAACTTTTGAGACTGGGTATAAACTTAAAACTATAACAGCATACTGTGAAGAATGGTGGGGTCAAGGAGCCTTGCTGTAACCCAGCTCACCCCCAGGCTGACTCTGGGACATGGGTATCTGTAATGCTGAGGTCCAGATCAGGTGATCTACCCCAAGGGGATGGGAGAGTTGCCAAAAAGTCATCTATAAAAAAACTTCCAAACACCTACTGTTTGCAATGCCCTGTGCTGCCTACAGCAGTTGGGGACTTGTGCTTAGGGCCCTGGTCCAGTGGGAGTAGGAAAGAACAGGATAAAGGAGACTGTGGACTCATGGGTGGCACAGGACAGGCCCCTTAGAATTCCCATGGGATACTACAAGACAGACACTGGTGGCTGCCACGAGATGCAGGTAGAATGGATGAGGGTCAGAGGAATCAGACTCATCCCGCCAAGGGAGTGGGCACCAGAGACGGCTCTTCAAGATAGACAATTTGGATAGATGGGGAGCCCAGTAGAGAAAATGGATTCTTGGCAGGCGGAACAGTCAGAGCAGGAGCTTACGGAAAAGATGGGTTGGAGGCTTGAGGAGGCAGCAAAAAGGGACCACTGTCTGGGTCAATTGGCCACAGAGTTCTGCCCCTATTTGAAAGCAGTTGCAGAAGTTTTCCAAAAGGGACATTGGTCAATGAGAAGATCAATCCAGGGCAGAGAGAAACTGTAAGGTAGGGGAGATCCAGCATGCAGGAGCAGATGGGAGACAGGAGGGACAGGACACTGAGGGCTGTGGCCCAGGTACCCTGTGGTCAGCTCTGCAGAGCTGTGAGCCATGAGAACAGAGGGAAGGGTGGTGACCACAGAGGACAGCCTACTGGATGCAGGGGTGCTGCTCTGAAGGTTGAAGGGTGGGGAAACAAGGAGGAAGAAACTGAAAATTTGGAAGACAGGAGGTGGTAACAAGAGATGAGAAGGGGTCTGAGGGCACAAGGGTGGGACATCACTCCTGTAACTCAGACTAGGAGAAGGGAGGGGTGAAAATATAGAGAGATTCCAGAATGATGAGAGGGAGTTCAGATTTTGCTGCAGAAAAGAGTGGCTGTGTTTGCAAATTGCCACTCAGGATAGAGACACTGCCCCAGATGTTCTCTCCTTCCTAACTATGCACTTCTTACGGCTAACTCGGCACCTACCAAGCCCACTGCCACTGCCCAGGGACAGGCATCATGCACCCATACCTTTGTCAGACTATTTCCTCCTTGAGGACTGGGAGAAGCTGGTGGGGCCTGAAATTCCCTGTCATTCATGGCTGCATCCACCCACCTACCACAGTGACTAGAACTTAAGTGCTTAATATTCATTTGATTATTAAAAGGCCATATTAAAATCAAATTTGTCCTTCCTGGGCATATCCTAGCTAAGCAGTAGAACAAAATATGTAAGTCATACTTGGCTGTAACCTGTGCCTCTGTTCTTAGTGGTGCAACACTGCAACACTGCAAGATGACAGGGGCCGAGAGGGGCCAAGAAAGACGTCCTGAGATCAAGGTCTAGAAGGGGTGACTCCAGGGAGGAGGAACATGAAATGACAGCTTACAAGACAGACTGGGAGATGGTATAAAGACAAAGCTGTGTTTTAAAAGCACTTTCTGATCGATGGAAAGTGCGTATGTTTGGAATATGGAAGAGTTGCTGAGAGTGAGCAGTGTTCAGAAAGTGGACACTTCAGTGCCTCCTTGACTGCATTGCAGGTGGCATGTTAGACAGCCTCCCTATCTTCCAGTTCTGGTGTATAATGAGGTCAAGTCTGTGAAGGAGTCTCCACAGCTTAGAGAAGGACCTGGCATGAGACTGCCTCTTATTAGGGTCACCCTGGAGCTTTTGGTGCTCATTTAATGTGTGCTATTAGAAGATGACCCTCAACACAGCCTTTTAATCAGCAGCCTTTTAATCTGCTTTGTGTGCGACATGGCCACCAGCCCATCTTTTTTCCAGTGAGCTGCCAGGCATGGTCATTGCTCCAGAACCTTCTACATGTTCAGGGATTGATAAAGGTAAGTGTGCACATATTTCAGTCTCTCCCTGTTTACTGGGCACCCCAGCTGCAAGACTTGTATGTTTATTCTGCTACAAATCTAGGAACTTAACAAAGAAAAATCAACACAAGGAGACCACAAAGAATGACTCGTGTTCACAGGGACATTTCAGGTCATAAAATCTCACCTCTTAAATGAGCCAGCTCATTTATCAGTTTAACAACTTGTAGTAACCAGAGTCAGAGGGTCTGCCTGTGTGTTACTGCCCTTCATTGAGCCAATAAGAACTATAGCTTCTGTAAAAACTGTTGGGAGACACAACTACACCATGCTGTCAAAGCCACAGGAACATGCAGCCCTGCCTCTCATGCCCTCCCCAGCTACCACAACTGCTTACAGCCCCAGTGAGCTGTCACTGAGCCACAAACCCATTTAACAGCACAGCCTGCTTCCTGTGGGTGGCTGAGGGACACTCAGACTCTGTGACTCCCATCATCAGACTCTGCACCAGCAGGTTGGAGTGTCACTTCGAGAGGTGACTTAAAACCTGCTTTCAGGAGACGCACAGAGTGAGGGGGTGCAGCCACTGCCTTGAGCTTCCTCACAGGGTATCCAAGTACTGGGCCTGCCACCTGGTGGGAGAAGGCCTCATCAAGGCCAGCTGCCCCTCCTGGCACAGGTCAAGGAGTGTGGTCGCAGCACCATCACATTTAATTTCTTTAATTGGGGCATCCAACAGTGCCTCAATTCTGACCCTCAGTGAGCCTCCTCCATAGTAACCTTGACCAGCTCTCCAGCTGTCACAGGCCCCAAAAGGCCCCGAAAGACCTGCCCCACTAGCCTGAAGCCTGCAGAGCAGGGAACCTGCCAGGCAGCAGAAGAAGACTGATGGGCAGCTTTGCTGTTTCCTGGCTCCTAAAGCACCCTTATGCAGTGTGGTCTGTCCCACCCGCTCTGTCCTAGTCTCAGGTAAAGGCTGTGGTCTATCTGGGTATGCACCTATCTGCCTTTGCTCTCCTACCTGCCATCCTCGAAGGGGCAGAGCTGTGGCACACCCTGTCATGCTCCTACAACTTATGTCTCATAAATAGGAGGACAGAAGTTGGATTCACACACTCCATACAGCTCAGCTGTTTTCTGGCATCAACACAGGACTGACAGCAATTTAAATTCAGAGAAAAGTTATGATGTACAAAGAAAAGAATTTCCTCTGGAGATCCTCTCCCACCTCCTTCCTGGTAGGAATGCATTTTCCAACTGTTAGCAAAGTTATATCTCCACACTGTAATTCAATTAAGAATTTTGGCCAAAAAATGAGAAATGAACAATTCTGGCCTTGTTGGGTCTATGTGGGCCTCCTGTGTGTCTGCCTGTCTGTCTCTTGATCTCTCTCACACACACCAGCAATTCAAGTTCCCACTTCAAGTGAAGGAAAAGAGTCTCCTGCAATGGCTCACCAAAGAGGCTAAGACCCAGCGGCCACCTGAACACTGCTGTTCTGGGGGTAACAGCTTCAGTAGCTTCTGAGGGCCTCAGACACCACACTCTAAAATAAACAGGCACATGCTCAGTTTATCAAGGAAAAGGTAGACAGCACAGCCAGTTTTTAAATTGGGTGGTATTCCTTTTCTTCACCTTAAAAATAAATCTTATCCAAAACTAGATTTTTCGAAGACAGAGAAGGAGCCTAAAGACCTAGCAAGCATGGGATTTTGGAGTCTTAAGATGGTGGCGAGGTAGGTGGGAGCTGAGTCCACTTCCCCCTGCACATGAGTGAAACACCCACCCAATCTACTGAGGAACAGAGGGAACAGCCAACAGTACCCCAGCATATATGAAGAAAGGAGACCAGAAATTGTAGAGGACATTGAAAAAACAGATGGTAAGGAGAGTGCTTCAGGACAATAAGGTCCCTGGGACCAGCGCGGGGACCAGAGTGGCTGCAGCCCCAGGCCCAGCAACCCTGGCCCAGTACCCACCAGGTCTGCCACAGGGCTCTTGGGAGAGAGCCAGGTCAACAGCTCCCACCCTGGCCAAACAAGGTTTGAGTAGCACTGGGAGAGACCTGGTTGCTTGAAGTCGCAGAAAGGGGAATATGGACCAAGTGGCAAACACACAGGGGCTGTGAGCACCCACGGAGTCTGTGGACGCTGGCTGGGGAGAATTGAGAGTTGGGCCATGATGGGCCCTGACCTAGACAGTCCCTGGTCCAGTTGGAGAACTGGGTTGTGTGAGAGGCCAGATGTCTGTTGGAGCAGCAGGCTTGAGCAGGAGGAATTTCTCAAAAAGAAAAAGTGAAAAAAGAGGCACTTGGTGGCTGATTGGGGAATTCTCCTACAGCAGCCACTCTGACCTCCTCCCCATTCAGCCATGAGGCCCTCCCGAGGTGGCATGGAAGACCCTGCGCACCATACTCCCCCGGCCCTGGGAAGAGTATGCACCCAAACCTGAGGGACCTGAGGTGGCCCAGCCCAGTGCGCACACCCGAAGCACCTGGAAGTGTGTGCACTGCGGAAGACCCTCGAGCCCACACCCATAGCACCGGGGAGAGTGTGAGTCCAAACCTGCGGGACCGGAGGCTGCTGGGGAACTGGGCTGGAGGCTGACGGAGTGCCAGTCAGGAAGGGAGAAAAGCCCAATCCCCCCTCAGCCTGCAGCCAGGAAGACCAGCAAAACTGGCAGTGCCAGTTTGAAGCCAACAGGAGGTGGGGTTTTTTCAAA